TTCTTCCTCTGGATTCACCTTCTTAGCGTTGAAATTTGTCAGGCTCATGGGAATTTATGAAACAGAAAACACAGCCAAATTCACAGACATACAGAAGAGAGCGCTGTACTCTTGGGACCACAGAACCTCAGACTAGAAGATGATCTGACCCGTTCCCCTGATTCTAGAAACATCATGAAAGGTTTCCTGACTTCCTGAGGCCACAAAACTCAGGGGTGGCAGAGCCCAGCTAAGAACCTTCCACACCCTTCCCTGTCTAGACATCTGTCTTCAGTTACTTACTCGCCTTGGATACTTTGGGTGTGGGGTTTCGGCTTCGGTTTTCCTTTTTACTTCCTATAACTAATTTCTTTTAGAACTACGTTGTGAAACAAGCAACAGCTGTGAAAAGTGACCGGGCAAATATCGCACCTTCTCTGCACTTGGGCTATTGACTTTGAATCTTTTGTCCACCAGATTGTAGAATCTTCATGAATTTCTGCAAACTGGCAGCTTAATCTTATATTCCCGGAGTGGTCAGGGTACATCTCGGCTTGGATCTTTTTCAGTAATATCGGAGCTGGAAACGAGATATTTGCAGGTCAGTGTCCTTACAACAGTTGCAAAGAGCTTCACGGTGGGGAAAAGACGTGGCATCTTGTATCACATTTCATTCTTGTATCACATTTCATTCTGACAACAATCCCAAGAATAGGGATAATAATTATTACCCTCAATTCATGGATGAGGAAACCAAGTGTCTGCGGGGAGATGTGGCATGCCTAAACAGACAGAAAATGAACAAACCAATATAATAGAAAAATCTCATTTTTCGTTACTTAAAACTCCCTGAGTGAGATCTATAATGCATAAAGTGAAATAGAATGTGAGAGACTTTTTTTTTTTTTTAAAGAAGAGGGTAGGGGACTGTGGATACCTAGTCTATAAACCTGGGCCAAATAGAATGCTTTTAAATGATCACCAGATAGTCCAGGTCAAAAGCAGAGCTGGGGATTAGGGAGCAGAATAAAATCCAGATTATCCAAGTAATTGTGGTGAAGCCCCTAGACACAAAAGGCGACTCAAGAGTAAGTTATGAATAACATTCATCCATCTTTCCCCTTGATCAGTTGTCTTTGCTGAAGATATCCTAAAGGATTGCAGTGATGTCTGCTATCAATTTCATGAGCAAAAGAGAAGTGTCTTCTTTTGTTTTTTTTTTAAAGATTTGTATTTAATTTTTTGACAGAGAGAGGCACAGCGAGAGAGGGAACACAAGCAGGGGGAGTGGGAGAGGGAGAAGCAGGCTTCCCACTGAGCAGGGAGCCC